CATTTCAGGGGCAAATAATTAACAATTATCGACCGAAGCGGAGGTATCTATCCACCATTTTCGTCCAAAATGAAGTTTATAATTGTTTAAGTATAAACCGAAGAGTAACCAAAACTTTAATTTATCTCTGTAAATATAGAAAAATGGTCAGAAGTAAATTATTGAGGCGCTATTTGATCTCTTTAGTTGCTCTAAGGTCAATGTTACTTGTCAGTCATCTCTGAGCTAGTCAATAGCACGTGTTAAAAGCACTATTTACCAGTGTGGTATACACTAACACAGAATATCAAGTAAAGGTTTGTCACACTTAAAAATACGTGTCAAAAAAAAACAACAACAACAACAAATGCATAGTGTAATCTCACATCAAAGCTTGTAAATTTGTGTCAGCAAATTCAATTGTGCGAGCGAGCTACATATTCCCATTTTGCAAGCCTATGACGTTTGGTTATGTCCTTGTCATTTCTTTCTACCTCGGAAAGATGATCTCGGAATTGGCCACAAAGTCGTCTTCCTGTTTAACCAATGTATATCTTTTTGCAATAAGTGCAAGTTATGCAATAGATGACCTTGGGGGAGGTGCACGTGATATGATGTGTAATCTTAATGGATTTCTTGAGTCCCGACATTTTCTCTGCGTTATGATTGAAAGGAAAGGTTTTGCAACGTGCGCGAGAGCATATGAAAGTTCCAGGTTAGTCATTAGTTTGTAATGAACTTCTGACCAAAAAGTTGCCTATGTTTTTGTCGCATTTGAATGAAATAACTGAAAGTGGGGAAAAGATAGTACCAGTCTCTGAATCATTTTGAGGTAATGTAAAATTTTTAAGAATGATAGATTTAACTGCGTGGTTGTGAGGGTGAAATGTGAGAGTGAAAGGAATGCGATCAGTATTTTCCTTCTGTGCCGTTTGTAGAGTTGACTGTCGATCAATTTGTTGGGCGCGGGTGATGGTCCGCTTGAACGACAGAAACAGGATAGCCACGTTTATCAAAAAACTAGCACATTACTTCTTATTTGTCTGAAAAATCAGAGTCGTCACAACATAAATGACGAAGTCTGAGAAACTGCGAAAAGGAATGGAATTCTTGACATGTGATGGATGCGTAGATGAAAACAAAAAGGAACTATGCGAGTCTGTAGGTTTGTTGTAAACACTAGTGCATAGACCGTTGCCTTCAATTGAAATTTTGCAGTCTAGAAAAGCCAAAGACGTGTTGGAAATTTCCCATGTATATTTAGAGCTGGGTGAAGGGAATTGACAGAAGTTATAAACTGTGTCAGCTCCTCTCTAGTAGAGGAGGTAGCGCCGATAAAGTTGTCAATGTGGCGACCGTAGAGATCAGGTTTAAGGACCTACGAAAAAGATAGGCGTAGCTGGGTCCAATTTTGGTACCCAAGGCTACCCCATTAGTTTGTTTGCAATGGTTGCCACCGAATGAAAAGCAATTGAGTGTGAGCAATATTTCGGCTGAGCGGATTAGTGTTTGAAAGCTAGGTTCCTTAACAGTACGCACCATACAGCTCCAAACTACGCCAAACTAAACCAAACTACAACACATCACACCAAACTACATCTACTTTACTAAACTATACCACACTTTATAAAACAACACCGAACTACATGTACTTCACCAAACTACACCATATCCCACCTTCACCACCACTACTCCACATTACACCACACTGCACAACACTACACCAAACTACAGCGAACTACACCTACTTCACCAAACTACAACACGTTACACCAAGCTTATTTCCAAGAATAATTCGGATCTAAAATGGAGTCAGTAATCGTTGATTAAAGATTTTTTTGGAGTTCTCTTCTTCTCATCGGTTATTTCGTCCCATACTTTATATTTTTGTTGCTCGTGATGTTATCAGTCAGCTTAGACTTAGTTATACTAAGCGAACAGTCTCTGTAATTGCACATTTTGCTTGGGAAGAAATTTGGTTTTCCTTGTTTCTTCATTTTCACTCGACCTAGTTCCATTGCTTTACATCACCTTAACTGTCTCACAAGAAACAATAAAAAAAATACTTTCCCAAATCTCGTCAGACGCTTTTTGTTACCGAAAATACAAGTGGAAATGATTCTAGATAAAATGACGGTAACCGGTCAGGTCAGCCGAAAGTCATGTCGCCTGAATGTCGGGCGACATTACTTAATTTCAAGCGACATGACTCGGGTTTCGGGCGACTTGACCGTTAACCAAAATATCATGTTTGCTGGGAAAATGGAAGTGACCCAGGCTCTTTCATTTTCTTGAGTTTACGATATTTTTTTACGGATTTCAATTTCGCAGATTATAGATTTTCGTTTTGTTTCGTTTTGTTTCGCAAATTACAGTAAGCGATTTTCATTCATTAAAGTTAACTTCTAATGAAAACAAAAGATAGCAAATATAAATAGCTAGCTGTCTATGTAAGCGT